TCGAGATAGACTAATGAATTTTAATAAAACACAGCATGGAACGTCCATTGATATCATGTCAGATTTCACACTGCAGCTAACCTTTAAGACACTGTCACTTGTCTAGTTTTGTGTAGTATCAAGGAAGAATATCCACAATTATCTGAAAAGGCTATAAAATACCCCTCCATTTTCCAACTTTATATATGTCTGAAGCCAGATTTTCTTGACATGCTTCAACCAAAACAGCAAACTGAATGCAGAAGCAGATATAAAGAATCTAGCTGTCTTCTATTAAGCCAGATATAATAAGAGTGAAGGGAAAAAGGAAAACCAATACTGCTCTTAACCTTTTTTTTTGTTTTAGAAAATATAGTTATTTTTCATAAAAATACTATTTATGTTATTATGTAATGGGTTTATTACAGTATTTTTTAAATGAATTAATCAACTTTTAGAATTTTTCTCAGTTTTAATTTCTAGTACATTTAAATATTGATAGCTAAAACACATATGAACGAAAGCTCTCTGGGGTTCTCAATAATTTTTAAAAGTATAAGAAGTCCTGAGACCAAAAAAGTTTGAGAACTATTATAAACAAATAAGAATCTGAGATAGAAAACAAGGGTGGAGAGACAGCGTTTGAGATGAGGCCATTGGAAGTGCCTCTTTGATCTCAAGATTTAAGCTGAGATCTCAAGAAGGACCTGAAGGTGACCTTATGAACTTTGTAAGCAGCAACAGCCACATCTGGGAACATGTTAGAAATGCAAATTCTTGGGCCCAACCCCAGACCTATTGAATCTGAAACTGGGGGAGGGGGGGGGCGGGCAGAGGGGCCCAGTGACCTCCATTGCAGTTACTACTAAGTAAGCCCTCCTGGCGAGTCTGATGCACTTTGAAATGTGAGAACAGCCCTCAAGCAGGAGAGAAAGAAAAGTAAACTCCCTGAGTACTCAGAGGACAGAGGGAAAGAGCCATTCTCCAAGACTGGGATGTAAAAGGAACTTTTTACTCTAAACGTGACCGAAGGTGGGTCCTGAAGAAATGAATAAGAGTCATCTCAGGAACTGTCAGTGGTGAAAGATCCAGACTAAGCACAACACATTCACAGGTAGGAGGCACGCACTGCTAAGTGCAAAACCTTTAACCTACAGTCTCTAAACAACTGAGTTAACTGGCCATGCTTTTTTTTTTTTTTTTTCTGGCTGGCTGGTACAGTAGTTCCACCTTTAATGTGCAGATCAACAGTCGACAAACTTTTTATGTAAAGAGCCAGATGTTAATATTTTTATGCCAAGAAGCAAAATCAAGGCTATATTGTGTAGGAACTTATGTATACATTGCGAGAGAGAAAACTCCTGCCCCCACTACATTTTCCTGGGGTAGACCATTCCAACCTCCTTTTGCCCAAAACCCTTCAGCTGGAGACATTCTCAGGACAAAGGGCAGGCCTGAAGGGGAAGGGCCTGGTCAGTGGGATGGTCAGTTTCACTCTCTGCCCTAGTGATGTCCAGATCCCAGGGAGCCCTCTCTCCTCCCAGAGAGGCCAGCCATCTCAGGTTGACAGCTGGCCAGAGGCACGGTGACTCCTGGAGTCACCAGCTCTCAAACTGAGATTCCACTGCTGGGTCGCAGAAGTTGCCTGCAGGAGAGTCCCCAGTGTGTAGGTGGTGACTGCAGGCCTACAAAACCAGGGGTGAGCCAGATTTGGCCTGCATAGCAGTTTGCCAACCTCTAGTATGCACAAATCATTTGGGCGTCTTGTTAAAATGCAGATTCTGATTCAGCAGGTCTGGGATGGGGCCTGAGATTCTGCACTTGTGACAAGTTCCCACAGCAGCTACTAGTTCATTCACCACACTTTGAGTAGCAATCTCTCTCAGGCTGAAAAGTAGAGGATAGACTGGCAGAAAGCAAGATTGGAGACATGCAGGAGGCAGTAAGGACATAGCAGTTGTTCTCAACGGAGAGGATACATGAGAATGGCCAGTGGATTTTAAAAAGTAGAGAGGCCTGGGCCTCAGCCCGAAATGAATCAGAATCTCTGGGTGTGCAGACAAGGGTTATGTATGCTGCATGAAATAGGTGCTCTATGCATACTATGTTAGGTGACAGAGAAGATGGCACAGACTGCATTTTACTTTTTAAATTTGTTTTAATACAAAGCCCTCACATTGGAGTATTTGACCAATGATAAAATAGTGAGTAAAAGTCTAGAGTGTTTGTAATCTGTGGGTGTCACTAAAAACAAAAACATTTTTAGAATTGGTGTCTGGAAGCCTTTTCATGAGCCTTTCATACAAGCCTTTAAGCAGGTTTACACTTAAACCAACCCCATTTGTTCCACATTTGAGTTCATGCCAAAGAGATTATACAACTTCCCATGGGTAAGTTGCAATTCAAGTAGAAATTTTCACTGGCAGAAAAATTTACTTCCAGAGAAATTGAAAAGCTGATCCTAAAAAATCATATGGACATGCAAGGGACACAGAATAGCGAAAACAATCTTGGGGAAAAAAGTGGGAGGACTCACACTTGATGATTTCAATAAGCATGCCAGGACAATTCAATGGGAAAGGAATAGTCTTTTCAACAAATGGTGCTGAGACAACTTGGATATCCACACGCAAAAGAATGAAGTTGGTCCTCTACCTCACAAAGATTTATTACTGTGTTTTCCTCTGAGAGTTTTACAGTTTTAAGTCTTACACTTAGGTCTGTGATCCATTTTGAGTTAATTTTTTATAGATGGCACACTTCAGAAAACACAACTGAGCATAAATATGAGTGTGTATTTCTAGACTCTCGATTCTATTTCATTGCTCTGTATATCTATCTTTGTGCTAGTACCACGCAGTCTTGATTGCTTTGTGGTAAGGTTTTGAAAATGAAAAGTATGAGTCTTTGAATGGGGTATATACCCAAGAGAATGAAAACACTTATTCATCTAAAAATATGTACATGAATGTTCATAGCAGCACTATTCATAATAGGCAAACAGTACAAATACCCCACATGTCCATCAGCTGATGAATGGATAAAATAAAATGTGGAATATCCATATAATGGAATATTATTTGTCCAAAAAAAGGAATGAAATACTGATACATGTTTCATGGGTGAACCTTGAAACATGCTAAATGAAAGAAGCCAGTCACAGAAAACCAAGTATTGTGTGCTTCCATTTATGAGAAATGTCCAGAATAGTCAAATCTATAGAGACAGAGAGTAGATTACTAGTTACCTAGGGCTGTGATAGGGTGGGGGTAAAGAGTGACTGCTGATAAGTACAGGATTTCTTTTTAGTGTGATGAAATGTTCTAAAACTAGATTGTGGTGGGTGACGGTTTCACAACTCTAAAGTACTAAAAACCACTGAATTGTACACATTAAATGAATTCAATTTTATGGTATGTGAATTATGTCCTAAGCTGTTTTTTTAAGAAATAAATGATTATTAATTAGGGGCTTTCTGAAAAACAACAAAAACTTTCTATAATATATACAATACAAAAAAATTCATTAGTGTATCATTGATGACTGAAATTTAGCAAACTCCTTTACCTGATCCCTTGTGAATTTGGTTAAGTGCACTTGAATTCCTACCTTTCTGGTAGATGTGTCTCAATTTACAAAGCAGTCAGTAAATATAAGTTCTAATAAATATGAGTCATCTATAACAGCTATAGTAAAGAAGAGAGAA